CCCCCACCCCATCTTGTCCCCTTCTCCCCCACTCCCCGCAAGCGCCCGGTCGTTGCAGGGCTGCAGGGACGCGGCTGGGCTCCTCCCGGACGTCCAAAAAGCACGACGAAGCTCTTAAGTTTCACACGATCGCTCCCAAACGAGCAGCCTTCCTTTTCCTTTCTTTTTCTCCGTTTTTGTTTCCTAGGCCCGATGGGCTACTGCGTTTTACTCCGGAATAGACAAATGTCCTGAAACGCCAAAAAAAAAAAAACCCCGAGAGATGGACACGGTGGAACTGGCTCAGGTGGACGATTCGTCAGGGTCTGGTTGGGGGTTTGCTCGTTCCCTCGGCGACAACGGTCCCGCACGAGAAAAGCAGCCCTTTTTGGGAAAGGAAACGTTTGCGGGTGCCAAACCTCGCCTAGCGCTGTGCCCCGGGCACGGCGCAGCCCTGGGAAAAGCCACCTTCCCCGCCTCCCACCCGGGCGGGCCTGGGGCGGTCGAGGCTTTCCCTTTGGCGTTTTGTCCTTGGGTCCTGCTTGGAGGTTTATTTTCAGGTCCGTGGATCTCAGTCTCTTCCCGGGAGGTCCGTGTTTTTCTTCCCTAATGCCCCACGCTCTCCTCGGTTGCTTGGGATGGGCTCGAGCATCTCTGCTTCTTCATCCCAGGACCTCTGGGGTTTTTTTATTCTTCTCCTTCTTGCACGGTGGGGCTGTGGCTCCGGCCCCGGGCACTGAAGGTCTCTTGCTGCTGCTGCTGCAGGAGCCTGTGACCTTCGAGGAGGTGGCCGTGTATTTCACCAAGGAGCAATGGGCCCTGCTGGACCCGGCGCAGAGGACTCTCTATGTGGACGTCATGCTGGAGAACTACGAGGCCGTGTCGTCTCTGGGTAAGGAGCCCTGTCCCTTCCAGCGCTGGAGCCAAGAGTTCCTGAAGCTTTGGCTCACGGTCTTTATGTTGCAGATGCTCTCAATTTTCAGATGGTTTGAGCTCTGCAGCACTCAGGAGTGAGACAGACCATCTCCTTGATGCTCCTCCTGGGAGACAGAGCGAGGAGGAGCGTTGAGGAAAAGCCCTTTTTTCTTCTCTTCTATGTAATTTTCCAGTGGGTGGAAATACGTGTCCTCCCCGCGGGGATCTTGCCCCTTTTCCTGGACCAGCTCCATCCCAACGATTGGGTTTGGGCCAACGTTTGGTGTTTGCCCCCTGTGGGGCTTGGGTGGAGGACGCACCGTCACCCAGGCACCTGGTGGTCTGGGTGACTGTACCACCGTCCTTCCCACCCCGTGTCCCGCAGGAAGTTCAGATTTCTTTAACTTTGCGAATACTCTACGATTCTCAAGTCCCTCGTGCCGTTATCTCCTGATTTCACTCTCTGGAACAGGGTTTCCCACGGCCAAGCCGGACTTGCTCACCCAGATGCAAGAGCGAGGAGAGCTCTGGGGCCCTGATCTTCGAGAAATGGGGAAAAAAGAAAAAGAAGCCCTGAGCAGCAGACACGCAGGTGAGGATGGGGTGCCTGTGCTCATGACCACCTACGCCGGCGCGCGCTGTTCTACCCCGTCAAACCCACGCCAGGATTTTAGTCAAAGCGTGATGGATCCTACAGGGAGACGCAGCCCCACTGATCCTGGCTGGAAATCGGAGTAAATTTCCTCTCCGTTGATTTTCCCCTTCTTCCGTCCCTGGGGAACCACGGAAGCAGAGCTGCTGCACCCCCCGCCAGTTTTCCTGCCTGGTTAATTAGCTGCTTCTACCCCTTCCCCTTGATGTTATTTCTGCCTGGCCTGAGAAATAACCCGTCCGGCTTCTCTCTGTGTCGCAACAGGGGTGAGACGGAAAACCGACGGCGGGACGGTTTGCGGAGGAGGCGATGCCGACCTCGGAGAAACCCCAACCCGGGAGGACCCTGCAGAAAGGCAGCGCGCCCGCACCGAGCCTGGACACGAGGGCGGCCGGAGCAGGGATTTAATTACACCCCCAAGAGACGATGCGGGAGAGAAACCTTTCAAGTGCCTCGAGTGCGGGAGAAGCTTCATGCGGAGCTCGGACCTCATCGTCCACCAGCGAACCCACACGGGGGAAAAGCCCTACCAGTGCCCCGAGTGCGGGAGGTGCTTCAACCGGAGCTCCAGCCTCGTGACGCACCAGAGGATGCACACGGGCGAGAAAATGTACGGGTGCCCCGAGTGCGGGAAAAGCTTCACGCGGAGCTCGACGTTGACCGCTCACCAGAGGACCCACACGGGAGAAAAACCCCACCAGTGCTGCCAGTGCGGGAAGCGCTTCAGCAAAAGGTCGAACCTCATAAAACACCAGCGGCAACACACCGGAGAGAGACCGTACCGGTGCCCCGACTGCGGGAAAAGCTTCATACAGAGCTCGGATCTCATTGTCCACCAACGAACCCACACGGGGGAAAAGCCCTACCAGTGCTCGGAGTGTGGGAAGTGCTTCAGCGTGCGATCCAAGCTGATTCAACACCAGCGCGTGCACACGGGGGAGAAGCCGTACGCGTGCGGCGAGTGTGGGAAGAGCTTTGGGCAGAGCTCGCACCTTTCTGTGCACCAGAAAACTCACAGAGGAGGGAAATCGGTGCTCCAGGTGTGGAAGGTCATTCAGTGTGAGATCCTGCCTTGTTAAATATCGGAGGCCGTGCGTGGGGCGTGGATATATAGAATATCTGAGAGCACACGCTCTGCGTTTAAATGTGCGTTGAAGAACGTTTTGTAGGTGCGTTTGCACCTACGCAAGCTCGGAAAAGCATTCGGTGACAATGAAACGCCGTTAAAAATGAGCCGGTCTGCGCGCAAGCAGGACTATTAAATATCTCGGA